GCTTTAGGGCCTGGGACGGCACCCCAAATGAAAGAAGCGCTTTAAGGGAGATTGCTTCCTGCAAGCGATCCTTTGCAGCGCAATTGGCTGTGTGCCTTTCCCACCCTCCGATTGCGTCCTGTGTCTTTCTGTGTTACAGTTTGTATAGATAGGCAGATGAGCACCGCCCCCTAGAGTCGAACACAACTGGACATGAATTGTCAAGGGGAACCTTTACCTTTACCTTTAGAGGGCTACACGCTTTCGGGCCTGGGGCGGCACCCCAAATGAAAGAAGCGCTTTAAGGGAGATTGCTTCCTGCAAGCGACCCTTTGCAGCGCAATTGGCCGTGTGCCTTTCCTGCCCTCCGATTGCGTCCTGTGTCTTTCTTTGTTACAGTTTGTGTAGATAGGCAGGAATTAGATTGAATAATCTAAGCAAATGGTGGATGGGTGTAAGAATCCAGATTTTTTTCTCCACTCCATCAAGTTTGTATTGCCCCTAATTACTGTGAATATTTGGTGGGTAGTGCTAAGTAGACTGTAGGTATTCTGCCCAAATGTGGTTTCTTCAGTTTAAAGTCTTAAGACACCCACAGAAAAGTTCCTATAGTGTTTGTTTTTGCTCCGTTCTTTCAGCTTTGGAAATACTGAGCAAAGTACCCATTAATATATGCACCCAAGCAAAATATGAACAGACTCCAAAGGCTTTTTCTGCATTTTTAGAGCTATGGAAAATGACACACTTACCTTGCTAATCAGCACCATTCTTTGATTAACTTAATAACTGTTATATTGAAGTCATTTCTTTTAACGAAAAATACTGTTTTAGGAGCAGGATGATTTAATATTGGAGCAGTTTTTATATATGCTAAAAATGAAAATGATTTTCTGTGCCTTTTTCTAAATGCAAACAATTTTGCAAATATATCTTGATTTTTGCTTGAATTAAATACTAGGATAATTCAAACAGCTAGCTAAATGTTTGTTTGGAGGAGGATGGGTGTGCATTGCTAGGCTATAAAATCAGTATGACATACCTTACTATCTAACAAATATGGGACTTAATCTTAAAATAAATAAGAAAGAATAATTTTATTTCATTTCCCCCCTAAATGATTATTTGCTTTTTCATGCTGTAATACAATATTTACAAGTTCTTGATAGCCAGTTGAAATTAGAACTGTCTTGAACTAATTAAAATATCTCTCTTTCCAACTGCTTTGTAGGCTTTGGAATATTTTTCCTTTTATTGGCTCAGCATGGCAGACTGTAGTTCCCTACTTTCTGTCTCTAAATCTTGTTGCACCATGATTTCCTATTTCTATGAACGTTGGCTGTGCTATTGGGAAAGTATGACTTTGTACTTGATCAACAACTACCATTGAAAGGTTAGATACTTTTGGCTGAGATCCTGTTACTTAGTGTAGAAATTGTACTAGAGTAGTCCCATTGAATCTGTGGAGATTTGGTGAATCGACTCCTCTATATGTTCAATTGATTCAAATGCACCTGCTCAAAGCTTACATGACAACTAGAGTAGACCCATTCCAGTCAATGGAACTCATGTAGTTGACTTATCAAATCCCCACTGGTTCAATGGGCGTGCTCTAGTGCAACTTATTGCCCTCAGCAAAAGGATCTCAGCCACTGAAAGGAAGAATTGGAACTTATTGAGTGATTGCTAGTGTAATACAATATGTTGCCTGAAATCCTGTTTGGCAGCAACATGTGCGTCGTTTGAAGCTGTGGAAATAGTTGGAAAAAACCATGTTAGGTTGGAAAGAATATTCAGGAAGCATTTCCACAAATGTGTCACAAAACAGTCAACTTGTGTAATGCTGGGTTTCCTGAACATAACACCTACCACTCTTCTGAAGGTGTAACTTTACACTACACCGACTTGAACAAGATTCCAGTCATTGAACACTGAAATTGCAGTCATGTTGGTCTGTTGTTTTGTGCCATCAAATTGATTCTGATGTGTGGAAAACCCAACAGGACTTTCAAGGGCTTTGAGATGGTCAAGGAGTGGTTGACCTGCGTGAATTTCCATGGGTGAGCAGGGATTTGAACCTACGTCTCCTGAGTTCGGGGCTGATATCCTACCCACTGCACCACACTGGGACCAGTGTTTAGGTAAGAGGTTTTCCCATCCATTTTTTCCTCTGTATCGGTACTGTTAACGTATCCTGCTTAAGCTGATTTCTGATGAAATGCTATTCCTAATTATCTGTATAGGAATCCTGAATCTCTTTGACTTACTTCTAAGCCGGCATCTGTCTGGTCTGCCTGTTTCAAAAAGAGTCAACCTATTAAATCAGTAGACATCATTGCTTATTAACTGCTTCATTATGGAGGGGGGTTAATCTAAGCATCTGGAGCAACACTTTTCCTTCCCATCCAAAACTGACCAAAAAAATATCTCCCATGAAATGGGAATGCCCAGCCAAACACTTGACAAGGGCATCGATGATGGGCCTTTTTGAAAGATGCCCGTCAATTTGGTATTAAAGTGTTTAGACTATGCATCTAATTTGGGGAACCAGGGCAACATATTCTCATTTTCCTCTGGGAAAAAAATTAGTTTGTGTTTCTCCCTGAAGAAGTCTTCCCATCGAACTAACAGGAGCATTTTCTGTCGGCCATATGATTGCCTTAGCTTGGCTAACTCTACTGTAAAAGGAGGAGATGAAGCAATCAGATAATTACACAACGTTAGGCTTTAATTACACTATAATTGGATATTATTGTTGCCTTTCAGCTCTATCAGTCTTTTGATGGTAAACTTGTAAACATGGTAGATGTTTACAAGTCTACCCTGTACATAATGCCCCCCCCCGACTGTGATAAGGTTCTCATGTGTTATCAATGCATTTATTAAATCAGAGCCTACTGAATACAAGTCATTAGCTGCACAGCATAAAAGTCAACCAGTGTCAACATTAATTGCTCAAAAGGCAGAATACTCTTTTGGCATGATGCACATCTGGAGATCCTGCAGTCACAATTTTGTGGAATGACCAATTAGTACAATGAGAAGGCTCAAGTGAGGCACCTTCTGCTGAGGAGACCCATTTGCCCTCTAGCAAAAGAGTTGTTGTTGTTTAGTCGTTCAGTCGTGTCCAACTCTTCGTGACCCCATGGACCAGAGCATGCCAAGCCCTCCTGTCTTCCACTGCTTCCCGGAGTTGGGTCAAATTCATGTTGGTAGCTTTGATGACAATGTCCAACCGTCTCATCCTCTGTCGTCCCCTCCTCCTCTTGCCCTCACACCTTCCCAACATCAGGGTCTTTTCCCAGGAGTCGTCTCTTCTCATGAGATGGCCAAAGTATTGGAGCAAAAGAGTAGAAAAATATAAATGTACGGTTGGATTTATTTAATGATTTGGAAGAGAGGGGAAAAAAATGACTGTTGTAACAGAGATATGACATAGAAAGAAATACTTGAAACATACAGGAAATGTAGGTTCTGTTCAAATCCAACACATAATATACAGATGTGACATTATATTGCGTAAGAAAGCTCTGCAATTAAATCTTTAAATAAGCAACTTTATTAAAAGAGTCTAAGACACTTACCTTACCCATAATTACTGCCAAGTTCTATTAAAATCCATAGTCTGTCAAATAATATACTTTTTTTTTGCTGTTACCCCCCCCTCCTTGTTATTAAAAAAAAATTTGGTGTGAGCTTTGTGGATCATTTACAATTTATTAACAAGATGGCTGTCTTGATGATACAGTTAGAAGTTTTCTGTTACCTTACATGCTCACCAAATAATATACTTAATTTTTTTTGTAAAAAAAAAGATTCATATTCATACATAATGAACACTCTTTATTCCTATAGCTTGCAAACAAGTGTGGTTACCTTGCACACATTGAAAAGGAAAAGGAAACAAAAATATCTTGTTAGTTTTCATCCAAAATTGTGTACCTGTGTGTGTATGTATGTGTATATACTATATTCAAAACAAATTGTATAGGTATATATTTATATAACCCCCCTTTTTTTGTCTAAGTGGCCAAGTGTCACTTTAATGAGAACCACATCTGCCATTTGAAAAACAGTTGATGGCAGCTGGGAGCCTAAATGCAAAATTCTTAATCCTTTACACTATATAAATTATTATCTACGTCACTGGTTCCCAACCTTAGGTCCCCCAGATGTTCTTGGGCTACAGAAATCCTGGTTGGCATGCCTAGTGTGAAGGCTTTGATTCCAAGAACATCTGGGGGCCAAAGAACGGGAATCAGCTATCTACATTAATGGTGGAAGATGGTAGAATATGTCATTATGATGTTGATGTCTAAAATAAGGGTACATTGGATTTTTCCAAGGTAATTTTGCTTCATCTCCACAGTTGGCCATGATGGTTGGGATTCACAGGATTTAAGGTCCAATAATATCTGGAGGACCATGGTTTCTGAATTCCTGCCACAAGACTCAAAACAGTTATGCCCTCCATTCTAATTACTGTATTATCATCATTTATTGATATATAGGGACTTACTCCTGGGTGAGACGGAGGCCTTATCTCTGAGCTGTACTATATTAGGCTGCAGGTTGAAGATTGGTTTGGTGAAATGCTTGTCTGTTAGAAAACATTCCCTCATTCAGAAAACCAGGATGTCCAGGGAGAGTCTCGAATGAAACTCTTCTTCATGGGCTTTGAGCTATTCCATATGGAGGACATTTCTACCATGGTGCACAAATATTCCATCTCATAAAACCTACCTGAAGCTTGCAGTGGGACATTCTTAACAAGCCAATGGCTGTGCTAAACTGGGGGGGGGGGAGAGGCCTTCCTAGGGTGTCTCAGCTATCCAAAGGAGCCATTTTGTCAGGTCACTGAATAGTAGTGCCGGTCGGTCCTTTAGTATGTTAAGGCCACATTTAAAAAAACAAGTCAGAAATATTAGAGAGATGAGTCATCTGCTGATGCTGAATTTTAAATTTCTTTTTCCCAGCACATTGCAACGGTTGCTGTTCCTTCAGCTTCGACAGGATAGTGGGGAAATAAAACCATTCTTCTGGGTCAAGGGAAGAGTAGATGAATATACATCAAGTCAGACAGGATTGTGGTAGAAGACTTATTGTTTTTTTAAAAAGCCACCAGTGTGGCTGTGGCACCTGTTACTACTGCCATATGCAATCTCTGTTTGATTAAAACCTTGCACAGGAAGCCTCTACAGTGTTTGTAGCTGTTACTGGTTATCTGCTATGGTGCCTTCTATTCTATTCTCTGCCCCACCGACCACAAGCCTATGGTGAATGCCATACAAAAGCTAACCCTATTGTATATCTCTTCTCTCTCTATAAATATATATACATATACATACACTCATACATATACAAATACTAACCCACGGACAATTTTTTTTAAACAGTTGAATAGCAACAAGTCAACAGAGAGAAGGGGGAAAATGAAGTCATTCTGTAATTCTGCTCCCAGAAGATCGGGTTCCAAGATGTGGTCTTTCTGTCTTCTTTTTCAACCCCTGGGCGGCGAGCAGTCATGTCTCAACCGCTGGTCTTCTGCAAAGACTCCATTGGTAAGCCAGAGCCAGGCTGGAGGTGTGTGTTTTGTTGTTGTTGGGGTTTTTTTTTTTTTTCAAATACAATCGTGCAGCTGGGAGGATAGATGGCGTGAGGTCGCAAAGTGCCAACTCTGGAGTAACTGAGGCTTAAGAGGGAAGGAATCATAACAGTCAAAGGTGATCTTCTGATTGGGGGTGGTATTGTCCTTTGCTTGTCACCATGGCAACTCAGTAGACCAGCTTCAAGTGTCAGGAGTTGTTACAGACCTAAACGATGGATAGCAATGGATGGTTATTAGCAAATGCATGGCATCTTTTAAATGTGTGTGTCTGTCTATCTTACACCTGTCTCCATATCTATATCTGTATCTTCCCTTCTCTTTCCAACATGAAAGCCTTGCTGACTTAATTGTTTACACATGATTAAGCAATTCATGGGAAATTATCCAGATTCAGAAGCAGTTCTTTGTGAAGAGTTAGGACCGGAAGCAGAATAATCCCCATATTAGGGGTGGTCAGTTTCAGTCTCAGAAACTGAGTGAAAAAGAAGTAGCAAGGGGATATTTTTGGAAGAGCGTGGCAGGAGCTGAATTCGGTTTTTCAATTCCCAAATCTTTCTTTCTTTCTTTCTTTATTCATTCATTCATTCATTCATTTATTTATTTATTTATTTATTTATTTATTTATTTATTTATTTATTTATTTATTTATTTATTTATTTATTTATTTATTTATTTATTTATTTATTAGATTTCTACCCCACCCCCTAGACAGCGTCTACTCGGGGCGGCTTACAATTATCATAAAAACATCATAAACATTAAACAATTCAATCAATAATATAGTGTATTCAAAATAGGGAATAATAGAAAACGAGAAAATAGAACTCAAGAATTGACAGAAGGGAAGGCCTGCCTAAAGAGCCAAATCTTTAAATAGCTTACATGTGGCCTAAATCCTTACATGTTGTTTTGCCCTTTCACCATCATCAGCATCAGTGTCCTTTACAAGGTATCAAAACAAACAGTGGCTTTGGGTCCTAAAATGAACTGTGCAATGGATCAACTCACGTTACAGCCATAAACGGAGATGCAGGAAGCCATTTTTTAAAAAAAATTCTTAGGTTGTATCCACCATATGGAAGTTACAATCCCAAACAGAATAGGCCTCATTAGCATGCAAATAAATTCATAATTGTAGCCTGAATTTCCAGTGCTAATGGCTCTACGTGTGTGTCATTTAGTAGTAAACATACACAATCTAAAGGCACGGCAGCAGTGATTGTTACTTGTTTGCTAGATGGTTATTGCTGTGTGTTTTGAATAATTTGTTTCCCTTCCAGGCAAATTGGGCTTCGTATGGAATTTGATACAGCAGATAAAGCATTTGTTGGGTAATTTTGCTGTGCTGTTACTCAAATCAAATTTGATGTTGAGTTCCTCTAACTAGGAAATTATGTGATTTACAAATACAGATTAACAATCTACCATTTTTTTCTGCCTCAAATGTTCTGCTTTGCTTAACACTGAGTTTCTTTGAAAGACAAGGAAATTTTTGAGCAGAAAGATCTGAAACAAATGCTCCTCCTTTGTTTAAGCCAGAAGCGTTTCAGTCGTGCTTCTGGAGCAGAAGGATCAGCCACCAAGGGGGCCATCATTGACCCGGGGACATGGGACTGTGTTTACAGCCCTCATATTCTTTGGGGAGGTTCCTTTTGGGTCCTCCAAAGGAATGTTTACATGGCAACTATTTCTTCATTTAGGCTTAATTCCAATTGAGAAAAACCATGAGCAGCTGCTCGGCCTCTCTGGTGGGCTATCCTTCACATGACACTTAAGAGTAAGCTATTTATGCAAAACATGGACAATTTCATGCCAAAACTCTTTCTTGCCAATACTGAGTATGCTCTCAAGAGGACAGAAAATTTAATCATTCTCCTCAGCTTATATCATTCTCTTTGAGTTAGAGTATTTCAACGCCTATCATGAATAAATCTCAAGGAAAGAAGGAATATACCTTAGGGAGGGAGACTAAATATTCAATGGATTGACTCACTCAGGAAGCCGTGGTCTCGGTTTTGCAAAACCAGAGCAAAGCTGTTAATAAATAGGCACCTTTGGAAGTAATTCATTCATAGAGTTGTTGTAAGACAGAAGTGATTTCATGGCATGTAACACCAACAAAACAAATGCATATTTGCATGTTACCTCCCTCCCTCCCTCTCACTCTATCACACAAAGTTTTTGATTGCTAATATGGTTAAATCTCACAAGCTGTCCGACTGTGATTCAGGACACGCACACACACCTCCCATCTATCCTGTCTTTGTCTCAGCACTCACAACAGAACAGAGTTGCTGTGTGCATCACCGCCTGCAACCCACAAGAGTCCCCCTTCGTATTTTGTGAGGGCTCACCACTATTGTTATCTACAAAATAACAACAACAACAACTGCCCGAAATTCTTTTGGGATTTTACACCATTGTAACTCAAGCAGTGTAGACTCTGGAAGTGGATCACATCAGTTTAAGAAATCATTGCAGATATTACTGGTTGAGCACCAAGCCACACGAAAGCTTGCAAAACATTGTAATGTCTACAGAGAATCTTCATAGATATAATGTCTACAGTGAATTCTTAACTTGAGACAACTGACCTCCAGAAGTTACATTTTGAGGCCATTTAATTTTGAAGCCAAAGGGGTAAAGTTAATCCTTTGCTACTTCTGAAGTGCTGACTGGAAAAAGACTGGAAGAAGCTCAATTAATGTGTAATTTGTAAATTGCATGTAACTTGTAACTTGTTACCTCCAAGCTCTGAGGAGAGAAAAAAAGAAACATGAAAGGCACAAAGTTATTTCTGTGGCAAAGTGAAGACTGATCAGCACAAGCTGAGTTTAGAAAACAAGGAGATAAATTGGCTTGGATTTTTAAAAATGATAAACTTGAGAGGACAAAACTGTGATTTTCTGTGCCCTCCGTGCCAGTGAATAAACAGCAAAAATTCGTCAGATAGATTAACTTCCGCAAATTATCTACTATTTTAGCTGCTTTAAAACAGTACGGAAAATGACTCTGCAGCAAAACATCTGACATTAATAAGCCACCCAGAGAAAGAAGCAGGTCTGTTACAGACAAGCAATTTAGCTCTGTCAAAACCAAGGAATATTGAACATTATTTTTCTCCTGGATATACACCACAGAAGACATCAAGTTTTAATCTTTTCAAGTGCTACTTTCCCCTCTGAGGAACAGCTGATAAAAAAATTGGATCACACAGTAGTAGCATTTCTGAATGATTAAGTATTTATGGTGCACAGAAACACTTATCTTTCATACTTATTCATCATTTGTATTTTTCTCTGTGTGTGCATGCGGATATAATATATATTGCTTATAGGTGTTTATCTATTTCTGGGATGCTATCAAAGAAGCACAGCTCCTGCACTTCATACATTCATTTCTTTGACATGCACTTAGAATAGGAGCGGAATACTTAAAATGCCTGATTCAAGAAATAGATTTAGGTGGGTTAGGGGAAACAGGCTTTCCTGCCCCTTTTTCCATAACAGTCACTCTCTGGATGATCTATGGTCTCTGTGGGAATAGCTGGTGGCTGCTCTTGAAAAAGAAAGAGGGATCTTCTGACTGTAGGACACATGTGCTACCTAAATACAGAATGGATCCAGTCATTCATTCAGCTCATCATCATCATCAAAAGGACAATGAACCCAATAATCATCGACCAATTACATGTCTTCCAACAATGCTCAAACTCCTCAAAGGAGTACTTGCAAGATCAATATATATTTATTTAATTGAAAACTCCCTATAACCAACTGAACAGAAAGGGAACTTTAAGAAGTCAAGAGGCACAAAATATCAGCTGCTTATTGATAAAATGAGACTGAAGAATGCAAAAAGATGAAAAACAAATCTTAACGTGGTTTGGATAGATTATAAAAAGGCATTTCACTCAGTGCCACACAGCTGGATTAATACCTGCCTAAATTTGGGGGTGGGGGATTAGTAAAAATATTCAGAAGTTCATCTGCTGGATTAATACCTGCCTAAATTTGGGGGGGGGGGATTAGAAAAATATTCAGAAGTTCATCAAGAAAAACATTGAAAAATTGAAAACTGTCTTAATGGCCCATGGTGAAGAAATTGGGGGAGTTAACATCAAAAGAGGAATATTTCAGGGGGATTCTCTATCACCACTGCTGTTTAACATCTCGCTAATCCCCATGTCAATAATTTTAAATAAAACTGGCTTGGGCTACCATATTTTAGAACAAGCAGGAAAAAGCAATCAACTGTTATACATGGATGACCCAAAATTATATGCAAAAAGTTCCACAGAGATAGAATCATTGCTAAACAGTGATTTGGGATCAACAAATATGCAGCTCTGTCTATACACTGTGGCACGATCCAAAAACTAGATGGAATAAAATGGCAATATTATAAAACCATTATCAAATGATAGAAATTATAAATCCCTTGGAATCCTATAAGCAGATAACATGCTGCACATAAAAAAATTGAAGAACTGACAGAAACGGAATACATCAAAAGACTGCAGAAAATCTTAAAATTAAAATTAAATGGTGCAAATACAATCAAAGCCATAATCACATGGGCAGTTGCAGTAATTAGAAATCCAGCTAGAATAATAGATTGGCCCAAAACTTTTGAAGAATTGGATTAAAAAACATGCATCGCACATTGCATTCAAGAAGTGATGTGAAAAGATTATTGGAGTCTGGTGATTACTGCAAATACAGCAGGTAGTAGAGGTGGACAAAAGAAGCCTAAATGATTATATTAGTATGGGTAGAGAAAAATTACTTAAGGAGGGGGAAATGGAGAATATTTTGAAAATACCAGAAACAAAGGTTCAGTATAAGAAAGAACAATTTGAAAATACATTCAACCGTAAGAAAGAACAATTTGAAAATACATTCAACAGTTGAAAAAATAAACCACAACATGGACGACACCTGAGAAATATTGATGGAAAGCATGATCATAATTCAACATGGGCAGGATGAAAACTGGGGACCATTAAGAAAGAAACTGAAGGCTTGATTTTTGCTGCACAAGAAGAAGCACTCCAAAGCAATGTGGTGAAAGCTAAGGTCCAAGGAATTAGTGCTAACAGCGAATGTCAGTTCTGCTAAGAAAAAGATAAAACTGTGTCACATCTCATCTGTGAATGTCCAAATACTGTACAAACAGATTACACAAAAGTGGACATGATAATTT